AATTTTTTTTCGAATCCATGATGTTGAAAGTTTGAGTCCAGTAGACTCGTCATATAGACAGTCGGTTATCTCCTACACCGAATTTCTTGCTTATGCCATCAATATATACTTTGATTTTGATATGGATCGTCGTAATGTTCGATACAACATCATTCGTTGTTCTTCAGCATCTTGATAAAGTTTTGATTGTTCTTGATGTAAACGCTCACTTCGTGTTTTATCAAGTTCAGCTTGCATTACCTAAATATTTGAACAAATAAAATCTCGGAATCGAGACAGAACGTACTTACTTTCATTGTTGCATGATTAACATATTCTTGCCAAGCAGCGTCAAATTCATGTTTACCATCTGTTAATAATTTACTTTCTGCTAAACTCAACGTTTCCTTTGCTACTTGATAAACGCTAAACGATCGTTGAAATTCTTGTGCAGCTTTTTGTGTCTCAAGTTGTGTCTTAAAAAAAATGTGCAAAGAACAATCGTGCTTCTTTTTGTATGAGAACGCTGCTATTTACCTCTTCAACTTGTTTACAAGCATCATAGTATGGTCGAGCTTTTTCAACACAACTTCCGAGTCTTTTGGATAATACTGCCAAACGTTGCTTACAATTGGAGAACAATGTTTGAAATAGCTGTTGAGCTTCCTAAAATGAATGGACAGAATATAAATTGAACTTAGACACATGATATGTCGATTCTTACATCGAATTGTGTTTCAAGATTGTTCACTTCACTCATAGCAGCATTGGCACGTTCGAGTTCAATCTAAACAGGATAAAATCGAGTTTCATACACAATCAGACTTAAAGTATTCTATTTAAACCTGTATTCGTGGATCTAACGGTTCTTCATTGTCGTCTTCTTCTTCGTCATTGTGTTGTTGAACAATTTCATCATTATTTTGTTTTTCTAAATCCTCTTCTTCTTCATCTCCCTCATTCTCATTGTACTTCTCTGATGATAATGACATTTGAACGTATAAAAATTACAGCAAAACAAATCTAGAAAAACACGAAACATATTCAGAGCTCGAACACATGTTTTCCAGACAATTTTCAGAATCACTTTACTGAGAAATACAAGAAAAATGGATTATTTTTTATTTTGAGCAAAATTTGCAATATGTTTAATCCACATTTAAGTTGCTTGTTTCTCTAACGTATGATTTCATATATGATCACGTATGATTTTCACTTTTTTTCTGTCCTATGAGCACATTGTCGATATGACCGTGATAATTAATCAAATCGAAAAATCACCGATGGTGTTAGATCATCTGAACAAATCGTCAGGCAAACGAGTTTCCTCGTTTTTTCTTTATATCACTTTTCTTATACTCACTGAAATATGTGTTAGACATTTTTGGCTATTTTCACAAATAAAAAATTCATAAATCAGTCAAAATCGATTCAAACTACTTCAAAACAGAAACATATGCTGTATTTTTTTACTAATCTTAAGTAGAGAATCAGGCTGAACGGATAAAGTACAGCGTATGTTTCTGTTCTGAAGTAGTTTGAATCGATTTTGACTGAGTTATGAATTTTTTATTTTTTTTCTGAAAATGGCCAAAAATGTCTAGCACATATTTCAGTGAGTGAAGTTTTTTCTAGAAATAAATATTGCCACGAGATTTAATATGATCAATAATCAATGTTTCACAATTTTTGATGTTTCCAAAAGTCACTGGAAACAAATCCTGAGGCTCCTAGAAAATCTGATGCCACGGCTAATCGATGGGATATGAAGAAGCTGAGGGTTCCTATTTTAAGGAGAACACTCTGGGCTACCTCCCCATGGAAAAAAAATCAATAGATTTGTATTTCAACTTTTCTGGATATGATCCAGTTTTTCAAAGATCTCCTAGAAAACCTTAATGGGAAATGGATTGTTTTGCTTAGGAAAAGATTGAGTGATAGAACCAATTTCGTCCATTAATTTACCTTATCGTTGAATAGTGTAAATATCTAACCACATATTTAAACCACGAAATATTTTCTGTATTTGATCACTAAGTAGACGTTGGAATACACAATGTTTTGCAAATCTTTACTTTTTCATTATCTAAAACATTAACGATGAAATGCAAATTTGTAACACTATCTTGTAGACAATTTTACGGCACATCTTTTACAATTGGATCAAACGGACTAAAGTTATAAAGTGGTCCATTTTCTGGATGTACTGTAGATTTTCAAAGATAAAACGAAAATTCTCTATTTTAATAAAACCATTAAAAATGAAGCAAACTAAATACACTTGGATAGGTGAAAAAAACGTTTGTGTATCATAGTTTTGATTGGTAATTGGTATTGGTTGGGCAATCAGTGGTTTCCACAATCTTTGTTCAAACATTCGTTTTGAACATATCAGTTCATTTTCAATCTATCAAAACTAAATAGTCATAGTCAGAATCGAATGAATATCCTTGTAGATTATTTTTATAAACCTAGGAAAGAATGAAATAATATAGTGACTACTTGGGATAAGTTCTAGTAATAGCATGTTTTACTTGAAAAAAATTTACATCTATCAATCAGGTGTAAAAAAGTAAAGTTTTGCGACTTTTTCTGATACAATCTATTAAGAGTACTGAACTTTTTAAAAACTTTCTCTTTTCTTTCTTTTTCTTCTCTCAGATACTGGTAATTTTTTCAAAATTATTTTGAATTACTCTGTATACATACTAAAAATGTGAACTTGTACATTTGTAAAGAAAAACTTTCTAACTTCTATCTATTTACACTATATTATCTAATTGATAGTTATTTAAAATTGTCTGCAACACTAATAACCCAAATTGTTAAAAGAAACTAAATTCTAGATTTCTGTTTTTCTTATAAACTAATCAAATAGGAATGATTATGGAAAGAAAAGTAAAAAAACAATGAAAAATAAATAAATCTAATAAAATTGGACGGAATCACAGACATATTTGAAAGAACTTGCTTTACACATCTCAATAGAACAAAAATATCAAAACTGAGATTACAAACAAACGATCTTTGTTTATAAGCAATTTAAAAAAAGCTTTTCAGTAATTTAGAATTCTTCACGTAAGTTGGAGGCTGATGTTACGGTAACAGTAGTCGATAAATCAGAGTGATGTATCCATTCTGTTGGAAAATAAACATTTCGTTCACTATGATGTTTAACAAGTAATTCATTTCGAAAATAGGCAATGGTTTTATTAAGGCCTTCAATAAGTTTGACCTAGAAAACAAAATAATTATGGTATTATATACTAAACAGAGTATGAATAAATACTAACCCTTGGTTGCCAATTTAACAGTGTTTTAGCTAATGTAATGTCGGGTCTTCTTTGTTGTGGATCATCTGTAACAGCCTCTTTGAAAGCAAGAGAACTGTTTGCACCTAAAATAAATAAAAAATATTATTGAAATAAATAATCATTAGGTTTCAGTTAACAAATTCACTTACCAACAAGATCTTTGATAATCAATGCAAATTGTTCGATTGTATATTCATCTGGATTACCAATATTTACTGGACTCGAATAATTACTATTCATTAAACTTATTAATCCATCAATTAAATCACTGACATACGCAAATGATCGGGTTTGTTTTCCAGTACCATAAATCTTGAAAATAAGAATACACATTAAAAGTATTCTATCATTCTCCGCGTTGCAAAAGTCGTCAAGAAATTGTCGATAAGGTACAATTAATCAGCCGATTAATTATGATTTTAAGAAACTCAACGGTTATTTATGATTCCAGCAAAAATCATCAATTAATCGAAACTTATCAGCAGTTTTTTCGTGATTCATTATAGAAAATCGCGACTAATTGTAAAATATTAGCTAATTTCTCCGACATAGGGCGTATTACGCACTGTTATTGACTCATTTTGTAATGATTGTAGTATAAAATTACTGACAACACGGCCATCGTTCATATGCATACGTGGACCATAAGTATTGAATATACGAGCAATACGAATACTAATTCTTTCCTAGAATGAAAAAATAAACTATAGATAGGATATGATCAGTTACGCATAGATCCTGTTAACCATTTTGGGTAATAAAACCTTCAATAATTACTTGTTTAGCATAAGCATAACACATGGCTTCGGCAACACGTTTTGATTCATCGTAGCATGCACGTGGTCCAAATGAATTAACATTTCCAAAATATGTTTCCTTTTGTGGATGAACTTCTGGATCACCGTACACTTCACTTGTAGAAGCAAATAAGAAACGTGCACGAACTCTTCGTGCCAAACCTAAAATAAAAAACTAAAATTAGAGAGAAAATTTTCAAAATAATAGGCTGACCTAACATATTGATTGTTCCAATTGAATTCACCTTGATTGTTTTCACAGGATTCCACATGTAATGGGGAGGAGAGGCAGGTGATGCCAAATGATAGATTTGATCAACTATATTAAAAAAACCTTCGATGGCTTGTGATACATGCACAAACTGTTAAAAAAATACCTTCGATAAACAATGGATTCACAATATCATGATTGATTAATTCAAAATTTTCGTGTCCAATCCAATGTTCAATATTACGTTTTCTACCCGTAAAAAAATTATCAGCAACAATAACTTCATGTCCTTGTAACATAAGACGATCGACAAGGTGTGAACCAACAAACCCTAAAATAAATAAAAATGAAAATAAATATTTTAAAAAATTCAGTTGTATGTCTTTTTTGCAGGTACCTGCGCCGCCTGTTACCTAAAAAAGGCAATAAATGAAATCGTCAAGTAATAATTATTTGTTTTTTTACTTACAAGAATACGTTTTCGATCTTTATAGCTCAAAAATGTCACTTCAGGATATTGTGTTTTGCTTTAAACGAAATAAATAAGTAAATGAACATGAAAAAATCGATCTCAAATCACCTACAGTCCATTTTACCTTGCTTCTAAAGCTTGGATGCGCTCTTCCAACTGGGCTATAGTGGTTTGTTTGCCATCAGTAGTACTAGAAAAAAGTTAGAAAATATAAACTAAAAAAAAGCACTAAATACAATAACGTTTTTCTACTAACCATAACGTAATGTAAAACAACGTCAAAACGATACCTAAAATAAATAACAAGATCGATTATTTTCGAGAAAAACAGATCTAACTTTAAGCCAAATTCCACAAAATGTAACGATAAATAATATGCGACTTACTGAACAATTTTATATGCATAATAAAAAATAAGAAGGTCAAAAATGATCTAAAAAGTAAAGAATAAGCAGAGAATTTAATAAAAATATTTAATATAGAGAAGTTTTACCTCAATATTACGTCTTTCGACAGAAACCGAACTTTAAAACCTTATCTCTTCAAAATAAAAATTGCTTTATACTCAGTAGAAGAAATAATGTTCACTACTGGCAATAATAAAAACTAGACGGTACAGAATCTCATCTTCGTGCGTTCAAGGAGAATAAAAAGTGATGCACTCTAACCTTGAATGGAGACATTTTCTGTCATCTCAATAGCTTTACTCTAATGGTGATACAATTTTCTTCAGGTGAACAATAGTTTCTAGACAATAAATAATGAGGGCTCTGACTTGTATGCACATTTAATGTAGTGACATTCTCTTCCTTCTTTTCGATTCATTCACAACTAGACATTCTCTTGATAGTTTTCTGATTTACATGACCTTTAATTTAAATCACTTTAACTAAGTACTACCGTATGGAATTTGAATATCCAAAATACCGTGATAATATCATGGTAAGAGTGTTTTTATGAATGGGTGAAAAAACGTATCTTCATTGGTTAGTCATCTGACTAAAAGTGTCAAAAGTTGACACTTTTACCAAGACAATTTACTATGAAACTGCCACATTTTAGATGTGAGTTTTTGGAACAGTATGAATACAAACATTGTCCCGAACGTAACATTTTCATATTTTTAGTACAACATTGTTACACATTTATACCATAATATTTCGGGACAGTGAATCTACAGTTCTATTTTTTGTACATTTTATTATTTTATCCTATATTATATATTCATTAAATCATTGAGCAAAAGTCCATTAGTCCTTCAGTAGCAAATTATACTGTCCTATTGTATTTATGTTTGGATCTTCTCAAGCAATATGCAAGGAAAGACGAACGTTAGACTGCAATTGATAATTTTTCGTTGCTTATTTTAGTCTTCATCAATTAAAGTTATAACATAACCAAAACGAAAGTGATTACTAATGGCATCTAGCAACTGGAAATAACTCACAAATCATAGAACAGGGTATTATACTGACGTACTGTACTAATGTGAGTGCCATGCCATAAGATAGAGAAATATAAAAGCAGAAATAGATGAATTAATTAATTATAAAAGAAAGTAAGAAATTGAGGAAAATTAGTTGTTTGTGTGGATGTTGAAGCACCAAACTTGAACACTGTCGTGTTTCGCTTCTCTTCGCGGTTAAATCAGTTGTAGTTTCTTTTTATATCGATAGTGTACGAATAGAAGAGGTCTATCGTTGATGCGGTTCCATAAAGTACACGGAAAAAATATCCGTTTAGATCAAAATGATACAATTGCTTATCGCATGGAATCATTTTCCCATGCATTAGTATTTAGTGAACGTCCATTATTCCCTGGTGAATTGTTTATGGTTGAAATTGAGGAAACAACATCAGATTGGACAGGAGCAATTAAAATTGGGTAAAGTTATTTTATGCGATTTTGCATTACTAATTCTAATCTGCATGTTTCTTTTAGTTTATCCATAGTACCGCCCGAAACAATCATTCAACAGTGTAATAAAGATGTCATTTACGAGAATATTTATCATACTACAGGTAGTATGCAAACTACTTTTAATTATTTTGACATCTTTTTCGATTTTTAATCATAGTTCCAAGTAGACCTGTTGGCCACATGCGATGTACATGTGGTTTGTATAAACCAGTATTTGGGATAGGAAATTATGATTGGATTATAACACCATTTGGAAAAACTGAAAGAAAAACAATTTTACCTGTCAGACAGTATGATCCAAAAGAAGATTGTCCTACAGATGTGGGAGGAAGAGTAGGACTAATTTTTGCACATAAAAAGAAGACTATTCATGTTCATTCAATTATGAATGGTTTTGATTGCGGTCCATTTGGTTTGTGAATACGTCTTTACTTTGTGATTTCAAAATCGTGCATTCTTTCTTTTTAAAGAAATCCTTCGTTTTGATAATAATACAGATGATAGTGATGACAGTCATGCAAGTGATCAAGATAATAGTCATCATAGATTTACATCTTCACATAAAGTGAACTCAGACGTTAAACTATGGGCGGTAATTGATGTTTACGGTGGAACGAAGAAAATTCGAATTATACAACTATATAGTGGAGGTAAATGAAAAAAACATATTCTCATAGTATGCTAGTTATAGAAGGTCTGATTTAGTCTGCGTGATATAGTAGATTCTCTCAAAAAAGCTAACTAAATAAGTATGCTGAAATCTTTTTTTTATTTGTTTCAGCTGATACCTTAAAATCTATTTGTCGATTAAAAATTTTGTCATCTATTGAGTCAAATAAACATAAACATATAGATCAATTAGACATTAGTAAAAAAAACAAGTCTTATTTAAAATTTTTTACATCCTAGTACTTTGACTTTTCTTTTACATTTAATTTATATCTTACGCAATTTTTTCAATATCTATTTTGTTTATATGTTGATAGAGTATGTTTATCAGATAATTGTTGATCTTTTTATTCATTATTCTCAAATATTTTTTTGTCAATTTTTTGTTACTTTTCAGCGTAATATTGCTGATGTTTTTTTTTTTTTGTTTTTTTTGTAGGCTTTTGAATCTCAGGTTTTTTTTTAGTTTTAATAATTCTTTTTTCGGTCGTTAAAATGATATAATTATTAGTTATTTTTCTCTTGGCTTTCTACTAATCTATGCTTTTCTAACAATAAAGTGTAGCGAGTGTAGATGTTGATTATCAGACAGTTCTTTCTCGACTCTCTAATTCGAAACAATGTCTAATGATATGAGTTTTCCCAGTATTTGTGATTTGAAGTATTACCTCTCCTCTATTGTAAGTAGAGTCCTATTTGCCAAACTTTTTTGTTCCTTAAGCCCATATGGCCAAGTCTGAGAAATTAATTTGAAAATAACCTGAGACCGTTTGTCTCGTTAAAAGTATTTACGGACTTGACTGATCGTTTGTCTCGCATATTTTAAAAAAGAATGTCACTATAGTGTAGTGAACGACTGCGAACGCAAAGCATTTTAAAATTTGCATGATAAAGGATGGAGATTTCAAACGGTGTCGCCTGATTCAATCAGAATATACTGAAAAAGAAAAGAAAGATGTGTTTCTCCTGGATTCCCATAAAAGAAATTTGATAGAAAATCGACAAGTAATACAACTGCTCTAGATTTATTTACGGGACATCAATTTTTTCATCGTTCTGTCTTGAACCGATCTGTCCTGATGCACGGGATGGGGCAAATTCGGGACTGCCCAGCAGGAAACTAATAGTAAGATCAAATTGAAGAAAATAGTAATTTTGTTTGGTGTATGCCTGTAATAGTAAAGACTATGCGTTAGAACCAAAAATATCTTAGATTATTTTTTACTCTTGTTATCAAAATGCAAATACAACTATATTAAAAGATCTTATAGTTTTACAGAATAATGGTGAATAAAAAATTTATAAAACGTTTCTGTCAGAAACAAATAATAACATACACGAATAGTTTGATTGTTTAAAAAAAGAAGAAACATGCTTGATAAACAATCTATAAGTATTCATATGGTAGACACTTAATAATCAAAAATAGCTGCTAACTGTTGAGAAGATAATGATTGACCAAATATAACATCCGACATTTGTTCAAGTGTTTTCTCAAAATCATTTTTTCTCTAAATGAAAAAACACTAAAATAACACTATATTCAAAATAAATAATAGATACAATCGTGGTGCTCATGCTCGATTTTAAGTGAAAAATCTATATATTATTTAACTGTTTTATGTTATTGCTTTCGTACATGCGAGGACGTGAGAGATAGTGGAAAATTACAATTTTGGTTTACTAGGCCACCTTTACGACAAAACGAAGTGAAATGTGTTTACTAATTTTACAATATATTGAATGACCATAAGTTATCATGCAAATATAGATATTTCTGTACAATATTTTTAAATCAATACTTTTGTTGTTAATAACGATAAGGCCTTGGCGTTGTATCCTCAGAGAAAAAGTGAAGAAAAGCTTCGACCAGCTGAAAAGAAAGAAAAAAAGTACCAATCTGTGGAAATAATTGACTCATCCCCATTTCAGATTGCATTATATATTTTAAAAAAAAAAGATTTTGTATTATTCGATTGTTTTAGTATTCTATAATGAATTTATTTTGTCTTGTATTCTAGAAGAATAAAGTTTAGATCAAATAGGGAGAAGCCTTTTCTTGGCATAATTATTCTTCTTAATTAATGGTGCTACATGAAACTGTTCGAAAGTTACTCCTTACATCCTTCCAGATGGGAGGACGATCATGATGTATTTAAGCATTTTCATGAATAACTTACCCTTTGATTTGGAAATACTTGTCCAAAACAAGCTAATAAAAGGGGATCTTCTTTGACAGAAGCTCTGAGAAAGTAGAATCAAAATAACAGATTCTGAAAGCAATTCGTCTTTATCTAACTCACGTAAAGTCACCATCACCAAGACGATTGTCATGATCTTTATCCTAGAAGATAACCGAGCAATTTACACAATTTTTTACAAGCATATAACTTCATTTTCTGAAGTTACCATTTTTTTTAAAGTGATTTCAACAAGCTCTTTTATACTTTCATCTGGATCTTCATCACCAGCTTGCTAAATAAATGAATCAAGTGAATTTGTTAGATGTAAATAAATAATATTTACTTTCAACACACTGCTTTTAAGCAATTGAAAAATTTCCTCGCGTGTTATATGTTTTTCTCCTTTTAACGAATAACAATTGAAAGCAACTAAAAGCAATACTTGATAATTTTACATAAACTGTTGCTACAGTTAAATACGTTCTTACATGCTATTTTTTCATCTAATGTTCCTCGAAGATATGTATTTAAACCAATAATCCATTCTAACATATTTACTTGACCATCGTTGTCGCGATCAAATGCTTTGAAAACTGAAAAAGAAACAACGTTCATATAGACAATTGTTAAACATTACACTTTTTCAGTGTATACCCCGATCCATTAGAATATCATCTGTCATATCAAATGTATTATGTAAAATATCTCTAAATCGATTACGATCAATTTTATCAGCATTTTTTGTTAAATGCCGAAATATTGTACACAGCGATTCTATTTCTTGTTTTGAAACTGAAATATACACTTCATCTAATGTACTGTCTATAAATAACTATTTTCTTACAATGAAATTTCTCATTTCGTCTCTTGGCAACTTCATCCAAAACATATTGAACAGCTTTTCGTGAAACAGGTGGACCATGTCCATGGCTGATACTTTCGAGCTTCTATAAAAAATAGCGAACGTATACTGCAATAATAGGATGAAATAAAATAAGTCATACCCAAGTATGACGACTATGAACTTTTCTTATAGGCGATGCGTCATTATGTTGAGCAGAACGAATACCTTTGCTTTTTGCAGATGCCATTTGGGCTTTAGTCTTAAAAATACTAAACACGAAAGTATAAATTAACTTAAAGTTTTTCAGCAACATTTTATCAAAAACTTGTCAAATTAGAATCAGCGTCTTTGTCCAATTTCTCGTTTGATCAGGGGTTGTTGCATATTCATTTATTCTTTGAAAAGGTAAAGATTTCTAAATATTTCGTTTTCTAATCATTGTAATAAAAACTTTAAGACCGGCCTATGACATGAGTGTCTCATTTCAATCTGACAGCGACCAAGACACTATTGATCATATCATAAAGACCAAAAAACATTTTATAGATATTTCGTTATAAGTTTTCCTGCTAACATACAGGGATATCAGATCTAAAACCTGAAAATAAAAGTTCAAAGTCAGAAAAATCTCAAAATTAGAAAACCATCACCTTAGTAGAAAAGAGAGCAGAAACAAGGCGAAAAAAATTTCAAAAATTAGAATTTTTACGCCAAAATCAGACGATCTGGGATCCCTGTAAAAACATATTGATCTGGTTTTGAAAAACCTTGTTCGGTCGAAATCTACTATAGTTTTGGGCTTCTTTATAAGCGATTATCTTTTACGCAACAAATTTTGGATCTATGTTTTACTGCTGCTTTTTATAATCTCAAAACACATACCAATTTTGGAGCTGAGAAAAGTCTCCTCTCATTCGAGATATTAAAATGTATATACTAGTTTTAGAGCCATGACGGTTGTCTGATGCCTAGCATTAGCTCCCTCCGGTTTGACAGATTCCCATTGATGATATGAATATGAATAGAATATGCACATTGATCAATAGACAAACTTAGTGCTCTATCATACAAGTTGTATGGTTCCTTTTTTGCATAGCGAGAGTGGCGTCCTCTGTTCCTTCGCTTGGTTGGTAGTATCGCAGCTAAATCCGCTATATATAAAATTACGAAAAAACAAACAAACAACGGCAAATGTGTGGCGGGAGTCATTAGTAATTCGATGACTAACAACTATGGACAATGGCCGTTAAAAAATAACTTTAATTGACGACCACGACTGTTAAGAGTTTTCAGAGGTTGTTTATGTCGCCGCGAAATTTCAAAATTTTTTAGATATTTTAATCTTAGCTTGCGCAGATATACACTTACGATGATATAATGTAATATTGTAAATGAAATTTTAGCTTTAAGGAGCTGACATTTCGCAGAAATATTATCTTCTATTTCCTAAATGAGCTGCTTAATAATTTATTGTTATTCTGTATTTGTTAACCATGATTTTCACTTTTTTCTACATCTTTCTTGAGTCTTTATGAATTACTCTTTTTTTGGAAATTTCACTCAATAAAATGAAGAAAAAGCCGTCTCGTTGTTATCAGCATTGTTTCCTTCTTCCGACTTCTTAACAATATTTAATCACCAGAGAAGTCGGAGCAGAGAACAGAGCCTCTCTTTTGGTTTTAGTGTTTACTTCAAGGGGGAAACAGCAGAATTCTAAGCAGCTGTGGACTCCCAGACTTACTGAAGCCTGGAGAATCCTACGCAAACTTCCCACAGTTCGAGAAACTGGAAGAATCGGCGGAAAAAAAGCGGGAAAATTCAAAACAGTCAGGAAAATTCTTCGGGCTTGGCGAAGTCATGCAGAATACCAAGGAGTCTCCAGGAGTACAACAAAATTTGAAAAAAATTGATTGCCTGTGGAACGGAACCCAGATTACAAAAGTCACAAAATTTGCTGTTTCCCCCTTGATTTACTCCGAAAGTGGGTATATGCTTCACTTTTGTAACACGTTCACTCAGAAATAAACCATACTTTTACTTTACCTTCATTCCGGAGTATTCAGTCCCATTTTAGAAAGTTGTTGAGCAGAAAAAAGGAAAACATTTTCCCAAATTTATTCCGAATTTTCAAGATCCTCTCTTCTCTTATGCGTTTGATTTTTCATGGTACTTCGGTGAACCACCGAGTTACCACGCCGAGCGTAGATGTTCAAGGCTGGACTAGTTTTTGGGGTACTAAACATCAATTCACCATTGTCTGCGAATTTTTTGTGTTTTATTGATTACAATATTTGTTCCAGTATCTGTAAGTTTTATGAATGAAAAGGTTTTTGTCTTAACTCTTAAACATTGTTATTCAAAGTTTTGTTGTTTCATCTCTTGATCATGGAAGGAAGTTTTTCTCACTTTTTCGATTTGTTTAAGAGTAGTAGAGCACAATAAAACCGAGAGAAAGCTGTCTTGTTTACTTCTTAATCTGGCTGACTAACTGGATTTATGCTATCCTTGAAAAAATATATAAAACTTGCTTATAGAAAACACAGTTCGTTTAGAAGTTAAGTTTCTAAGCTTCTCTATCAGATGACATCTAAGCTTGCAGAATTTTCTCATAAAACTGAATTGCTGGTTGTATCAACATTTTTAAAGATAAGAAATGTTTTCATGCATGCAATGTAATGTTGTTGACTATTCAATATAAGAAAGTACATGCAAAACGCGTAACTCTGTACGTTACCGTTTTTTCTCTTTTCGTCTATCCTATAATATTCGGAAAGAATATCGTAGAATCCTGGAAAGGGTCTTGTTTTGTAGAATGAAGTGCGCTCTTCAAAATCCACTACTAGCTCAATTCGAAATAATTGACGACTTTTCGGTTACACATTGAGTCAATATTGTTTCTCTAATTTTTAAACTTTATTTTTGCAGAAATAAACAAAAAAAATAATTAACTTGTATTGTTTATGGAAAAAATGATAGCTAAAAAGTGTGTAAATGTTACACTTTTATCTAGAATGATCAGATCTATCGGATTGTTTATATTAATGTATCAGGACATCCACGTTTTACCCAGGATACGTGTAAATCATCGTATACATGCAGATATAATACGTTGGTGTATGCGACGACAGTGAAGAAAATATTTCACACTTTTATCGTGATTTTTTCATGGTTAAGTAGTCATGCTATTTAGAAGCTCAAAGAAAGAGAAGAAAATTTACATTGTTTTTGATCGTTCGGGGCGTTCGAGCATTGTAGCAAAAATATAAGTTTTAGAACTGAGAAGTATTTCGAACAAACAGTTTTTTATCTTTTCTTAGTAGTAAATGTAGTAAATATTTCTCAACAGAGAAATAATATAGAAAGATAATAGGGTCTTGATTTTTCTATCTAATAATTTATTTTTGCGTATTTTAGACTATAGTACATACGTATTTTATGCCTTACATTATATTTTGCCTTCACAAATGTATCTGTGAATTGTAATTGTATTGAAATTTTTTAACAAATCTATATTTTCATCTTGTTTTTCGTGTTTTAATGCTTCTAACAATTTCTTTTCATTTTCTAGAAAAAAATCCACAAAACTCCCAATTACATTTTGTCCAATTATTTTGAATATGTCTGGTATTGCTGGTATTCGACTTCAAGAAGAAAGAAAAAGTTGGCGTAAAGAACATCCATTTGGTTTTATAGGTATTGATCTAAAAAGATTTTATTATAATTTACTAAACTTTTTATATTTTCATTTATACAGCGAGACCAGTTCGATCTGCAGATGGTACATTTAATCTTTATAATTGGGAATGTGGAATACCAGGCAGGAAAGACACACCGTGGGAAGGTGGATTGTACAAATTACGAATGATATTTAAAGACGATTATCCATCGACACCACCAAAATGTAAATTTGAACCACCATTATTTCATCCAGTAAGTAGTCTGTATACAAGACTGAGAACTTTTGTTGCTGTTATTATTGATGCTTTTTTCATCTTCATTTTTTTCTTTGTTCATTCAGCCTCTTTTATCTTATTTTTACTTACTTTTAGAATATTTATCCAAGTGGCACGGTTTGCTTATCATTGCTCGATGAAGAAAAAGATTGGCGCCCATCGATAACAATACGTCAGATACTTCAAGGAATTCAAGAGTTATTGAATGAACCAAATATAAAAGGTATTCAAAACATTTTTTTCTATCATACACTTAGACTTTATTGGACGTTTTTATCACTTAGATCCAGCTCAGGCCGAAGCATTTACAGTTTATATGCAAAATCGTCCAGAATATGAACGGCGTGTCCGTGAACAAGCGGCAAAATTTAGTTTAACAGATATTTGAGAATGTCTTTGTATTCATTTTTTGTCGATTTACGTTGGAAACGAGAAAGAACAATCAAACATTTATTTTTCTTGGTTTTTCTTTGTCTGCTCTGTTATATGTCTGTCTGTGTATCTTTTTTTCAAATGCTTCTGTTGCTTGATTGTTATTTTGTAAATATTATAAAGTTTCTCATATCTGTATATCAGGAATTTCAGTTCATTTTGGTGAAAAATAAAAGCAATAACAAGTGCATAGTTTGTCAGAAATATTTGAGCAAGATGAGGGAAATATTAGTAGAACATTATAACAACGCCGATCTCCATCCAGAGATAGGAGAATTGTTTTCGTTATCCATTAACCATTTGACAAGCGATGAGATATGTATGTCCCACTTTTCTATTTTTTTTTTTAATTTTTATGCTATTAAAATTGTTTGATTTCCATAGAAACTCTCGTCTCTCGAAAAAAATTAATTCAGCCGCAGATACACTTTAATCAGACTGGTAAGACAATATCCAACACCCAAGATCGCATCAAGAGCTAACGGATGATCTACGTGTTGCGACTAAAAGTTCATTATCACCCTTATAATCTGCAACTAAGTACTTCGATTATAGCTACAAGTCATGCATCTCGCAATCTGGTCAAACTGGTTTAATGTGTGCAGCAGAGCAGAACGAGCACCTTATTTTATTTCTCGCATATCCGAATTTTCCGCGCTAATTCTTCAACCAACGTTATTCATCAATTATTTTCTTTTTTTTAAGTGAGTTATCATGCGTGGTAATCTTCTTATTTTCACGCACTGGAAATTTTCTTAGTTTTGCTTGAACAAAACAGGGGAATAGTGAACCAAGAACATGAGGGGGGAGAACACTCACTGCACAATAATTTATTGAGATTAACTCAAGAATCAGTTAAGAT